AGGGTAGGATTTGTTGTACGCTAACCTCTTTATTCTTCTAACCTTCTAAGTGCAATTTTTTGAATCTCGTTTGATTTATCATGTTTAGTCAATGAAGAGAAGGCCAACGTTTTTCAATTTTGTGCGTGTGTGCATGTATCATCAATATGGCAATTTTTCGGGTTTCATCAGTAGATTTATACAACCATAATAAAACTAATATGCTTTGAATGCTTAATGTATGCTTAAGGTATGCATAATTAGTGATTGAAAATGAAATTCTCGCAACTAAACTTGGCCAATTTGCAAATTGCTTGGAATTCCTGTATAATGTTCTTCTTAGTGCAATTTTTTGAATCTCTTCTCTTATTCTCTTTAGGCAAAAAGAGAATGCCAGTGTTGTTGAATATTGCATGTGTTTATCCATGTAAGGAGATATGGCAATTTTTTGGATTTTCATCTGTAGATTCATACATCATAGCAAAACTATTACTTCAGCTGCTATTTTTTCTTCATTTTCTGAATTTTTGATATATATATATATATATATATATGAGGAAACTGAGTTTCTTCTTCTGAAGTTTTTGTTCTAGTATGTGGATTGTGGACAAGCAGAGTATATGTTCTTAACAATAACCAATTCCAACTAACATTACCTTTATTTGACGTTTTGTTAATGTTTATTGGCCATGCCTGCTTCAGCTACTATAATTTTTTTTTTTTCCTTTTCTGAACTATTGACATGAGGAAACTCAGCCATAACTGCTATTTTATGGTTATTTTTGCACTTCTCCTTTGTTCTTTTTGTTTCTGTTAGTGTGCCATTACCTTGTTGTAGAAAGGTGAGTGCTGTAACTACGTTTTATATACGGTTGTCATGGATTAAGAGGAAAAGGCCCCATATATAATTTGTTTTTGGGAAATGAAAGACTTGCACCTAAACTCAAGGAATTTGCAAAGAAGTCCTGCATACCAGCAGAGTGAACAATCCCTAATCTATGGCATTATTAATCTAGTGTAAAGTTCACAGAGAAAAGAGTGAAAAACAGGAACGAAAAGCAAAACACTAGGACATTTTATTGAAATTCAAAATATACTCTTATAACTTACAAAAAGTAAATGACAATTTTTCTTAAAAATATAAATTTGTGTCTACAAAAATTCTTTATAACAAAGTCAAAATTTACGAAAAGACAAGTATCACATGTTTCATAAACTAAGGCT